ATTTGTCTGACAAAGAATTCAGCAGACGTCCACGACGCCTTTGATCTACTTTTCGTGTCGGACATGTATTATTACTTGTCTGTTCCCAGTAGAATGCGTGTCACCAAAGTCCTTTAAACCGTGTTTATGTTAACCCCATCCACTCCTTTCCCCCTCCGTAAAAGAATGACAAGAAGCGTATCTGCCACGGTGACGTGCTGCGAATAGGCGAATCTCGATTCCTAATTCACATTCACCAGGGTGCGGAAACCTGTAGCCAGTGCGAACAACGGGAGACGCAAGACGACCCCCTACCCGCACCATCCGCGGCAGAACTTGCTGACGCCCCACCTGCTGGGGCTATTCCTTCAACCGAGCTCGCTGTTTGCTCTGAGTCCTCCAAAGCAGGTGAGAATTTTATTGTTTTGACAGTTTCAATGCGCACTTGACACACTTAGTGGTTTCATTTAATGCCACAGGGTTTTGAAACGCGCTTTGTGTACGACAAGTGCTCCTAATGTACCGTCTATACTAGAGACGACATCGAACTTCATCTACACACCCTTTTAAGGTCCAACTTCTTATATGAATTCACTCGACACAACCCCAGCTCCCTTCAATCGTAGGAGATTGCTCATGAGTGACAGGACCAGCAAAGACCTTCGAGCGGTTAACAGTTTTCTGGGCGCAACTCTGAATAGACAGCGGAAGACAGTGTGCTGTCCACTCGTCAGTGACTACAACTTTTTCTGTGGCGGTTCATTCTTTGTAACAAGGCGTATTCGGGACCTTGCACTGCTGTCATTTGCATGTTTGAAAGTAGCAGACCGCCGTTGATTGATCGCATATGCGCCAACGACCCCCCTGTGCCGCCGTTTCCATCGCCCTGCATTATACCTACGCCTGCGGGCAAATGTTTAGCTCATTTGCATTCCAGTAGCATGACCGCCATGTCGGCCGACATCCCACAGGTGGGCAGCAGGGTGGACACTCCACCACCGCCACTGTAGCGTCGTATAGTTTCAACGCACTGTCCAGTGCCTGTGCCTTAACTAAATTAGAG